TGAAAAAGATGGTTTCCATTATTTAATTTCAAAGAGAGATATTCTATTTTCAGGCAGTCGACGTGACTCGGAATAAATCAGTCTTATTATTTAAACGCCCAGATCTCGAAAGCTGATTGATGATGCGCTTCAAGTACATGTGCAAGGCGCATATTTTTCTGTTTATCGCTGTAATTAATTGCACTCTCGAAGTGTTCTCCAGAGGAAATTTCTGCATTCGTTAATTTAATCACGTTGCGTCATAACGACATGCATTCATTTCTACGTCCCGAGGAAACATGAATGGAAAACTTCTGCAAGCCCAAGCATCGTCAGCACTACCTCCAAGGGCATTAGTTTCGCCATAAAGCTCTACTATATGAAGTCCTTTACAAAATGATGTAGCGATAAGGAATAGCTGTATCGGCAGAATTAGAGAACTAATCTTGATTAACGTGCAAGAGGTATCGATCTGTCATTACATTTCTCGCGAGGCACTCATCCACTTTAAATTATCCCCTTACAATAAAATAGAATCAAGTAAAACAATACAGTCGGTGAAAGCATTATTGTCAATTATATGAGGAGACCAAAGTATTTTTCCAAATAAAGCAATGGTCCAAAACGTTTCCTTTGGGAGCTGGTTGGGAGTCTCAATATTTTGCGTTTCTACTTTTTTGGCACCGCGACCTACACCTCAACTAAACTTCTTCCGTAGTCAGACAACCTGAACTTAGCTTACACCACCTTTATTATAAAAAAAGGGCTGACTGCCCGTAAAAAATTCGCGTATACAAATGGACACGCTCTTCAACTGCCGCGAAACCAGCAACCTCGTTTTTACGTTGACGTATTAAAGGAAACGCCACTTCCAGGATAGAATAATCTCATTCTTTATGAATTTTCAAATGACCCGCCGTTATCAAATTTTGTAGATCGGAGATCGTGAATGGGTAATGCAGACCAAACAATAAGGAAAGCCCTTTTGACATCTCCGTTAGCTTTATGCGCAATGTCAAGTTATAACCATATCCAGTAAACTCGTTTGCTAAATTTGTTTAATTTATTTATTCTGTCATTTTCGCGATGCCGTAAACGATACCAGTAAAACGAAAGCGCTACTGTGGTAGCATAATATAAAGTGATAGCAGAATGACATTTTCCATATAATAACGAAGTTTGGCGAATGAACTAATGACGCAATTAATCTAATTGATACAATGTATACCTACGTTTGAATGACAAATTACCCAAAACCCTAATTACGTACGTAAAATGAGCGCGCCGCAGATTTATTATAATCAACAACAAAATTACTTTCCGGCATGCGACTAAATGGGAAAACGAAAAACGGCCATACATTTTCAATATTTATTGTGGCAGTGGCAGTAGGTCAATTTGTGTTTACTGTTCGATATTATAACTCTCGCCAGGAAAGATTGCCGGTCACAGCTAGGGAATCTCAATCCCGGTATTTGCAGGATTGTTAGATGTTAATCCCGCGGGATCCCGCAAAACTTTAAATAAATTTGCAAATAAGCAATTCTGTGCGGTTAACTACTGTATTAAAATAAATCGCTAATTATCACAATATTTAACAAAAAAGTACCTTCAGCCCAACTTAGAACTCAAAAAAAAGGTGAACTTCTAAAGTGCCTCAAAAATCATAGTTCATTTTTAACGAAAAAGTTTAACAATTATTTAAAAATTAACATCTCAGTTATACGTTTCATTAACAAAGTACACAGAGTCGTCCCCTTGATCGCCAAATTCCTCAGTCCCGCAAATCCCGCGGGATCCCGCTCCATTTATGTGCGGGATTAATCCCGCAAAAATGCTGCGGGATCCCGGTATTTCGGGATCCCGCGATCCCGGTATTGCATTACCTAGTTACAGCCCTTTGAATTTTCTTTCGAAATTGGTTTCTACTCCATAACTTTTGTTGAGAAGTCTGATCGAAAAAGTACGAATTGTTTTGGATTCTACGCACCAAAATTAATAAGAAAAAGTGTTTTCCCAAGAAATTTTGGTGCAGTCGATTTTTGGTAAAAAAGGAAGGTTATACACTGCCTTTTTTTGAGCCCCGAAAAAAAAATTGTCTCTGATCGACCCGGAAAAAATTTTCTTATAGAATGTGGCCTGTAGAATCCATAATTTCAAACAATTCCAAGATTGGGCTACTAGTTCAAAAGTTACAGCCCTTTGAATTTTCTTTCAAAATTGGTTTCTAGTCTATAACTTTTGATTGAGAAGTCTGATTGAAAAAGTACGAATTGTTTTGAATTCTGCGCACCAAAATTAATAAGAAAAAGTGTTTTCCCGAGTAATTTTGGTGCAGTAGATTTTTGGAAAAAAGGAAGGTCTTTTTTTGCCGCGAAAAAAAAATTGTCCCAGATCGACCAGGAAAAAATTTTTCTTATAGAACGTGGCCTGTAGAATCCATAATTTCAAACAGTTCCAAGATTGGGCTAGTAGTTCAAAAGTTACAGCCCTTTGAATTTTCTTTCGAAATTGGTTTCTAGTCTATAACTTTTGATTGAGAAGTCTGATCGAAAAAGTACAAATTGATTTGGATTCTACGCACCCAAATTAATAAGAAAAAGTGTTTTCCCGAGAAATTTTGGTACAGTAGATCTTTGGAAAAAAGGAAGGTTTACACTGCCTTTTTTTGCCGCGAAAAAAAAAATTGTCTCAGATCGACCAGGAAAAAAGTTTTTCTTATAGAACGTGGCCTGTAGAATCCATATTTTCAAACAGTTCCAAGATTGGGCTACTAGTTCAAAAGTTACAGTCCTTTGAATTCGAAATTGGTTTCTAGTGTATAACTTTTGATTGAGAAGTCTAATCGAAAAAGTACGAATTGTTTTGAAATTCTACGCACCAAAATTAATAAGAAAAAGTGTTTTCCCGAGAAATTTTGGTGCAGTAGATTTTTGGAAAAAAGGAAGGTAATTTCAAACAGTTCCAAGATTGGGCTAGTAGTTCAAAAGTTACAGCCCTTTGAATTTTCTTTCGAAGTTGGTTTGTAGTCTAAAACTTTTGATTGAGAAGTCTGATGGAAAAAGTACGAATTGTTTTGAATTCTACGCACCAAAATTAATAAGAAAAAGTGTTTTATATATAATCGAAAAATTCCCTTATACCTTTCGGTGTTGGGATTACAGGTTGTTAACATATTGTCTACTTACTATTAGGTTACCAATAGGAAACAAAAATAACATATGCTCTAATTCACAAAACTCTTCCATTCACTTCTGTCTTTGGCCACTTCCTTCGCATTTTTGACTGTTTGTCCTCTTCTTATTATTATTTTATTCACCTCATTGCTCCATGTCTCCCTTGGTCTTCCTGGTCCTCTCCTTGTTTTTATGTTTGTTTCCCATACTGTCCTCGTTTGCATCTTTTCGTTCATTCGTTGTATATGTCCCCACCAATTCAGTTGTTTCTTCTCTATATGTTCTTGTATTGATTCTATGTCTAGCTCCTCTCTTATACTGGTGTTTCTTAGTCGATCTATTCGGGTTGCTCCTTTCACTGCTCTTAAGAATTTCATCTCAACTGCCTGTAATTTGCTTTTCATGTTCGTTGTGAGCACCCACGATTCGCTGCCATATGTTAGAGTCGGTCTGTATATGTTTTTTACGTTTTGTTTTGGTTCCTCTCAATGTTCACTCCAAGGTATTTTATGTTTGGCACTTGTTCTATTACTTTGTTGTCTACTGTTATATTCAGCACCTCTTCCTCTCCCTGTGATATAATCATTACTTTTGTTTTGTTTATGTTCATCTTCATGCCGTGTGTCTTCAATGTTTCATTCCAACTGTTTATGTTACCTTGTAGTCCGTTTTTTGTATTGGCTGCTATCACTAGGTCGTCGACGAAGAGGCATTGAGTTCTCTTCCATACTGTTTCTCTTTGTACTTTATCGAATGCTTTCTCCAGATCTACGAATGCTAGGTAAGTTTTTGTTCTGCTCATTCTGGTCTTTTCTATTATTTGTTTTATTGTGAAAACATGGTCTTGCACTCCTCTTCCTTTTCTAAAAGCGCTCTGTGATTCAATTAGGGTTGGTTCCGTATATTCGCTTAGTCTTTTTTGTAGGATTCGTTCGTAGGTTTTGAGTGCTGCACTTAGTAGAGTTATTCCTCTATAGTTATTGCAATCTCGAGCATTCCCTTTTTTAAATATTGGCACAATTAATCCAATCTTCCAATCTTCGGGTATTTGTTCTTCGTCCCATACATAATTTCCAGAACATTTCCGTTCCTCTATCGTCCAGATTTTTTAACATTTCTGTGGTGATTTTGTCATACCCTGGCGCTTTCCCGTTCTTTAGGGATTTGATGGCTTCATTTATTTCTTCTTTTGTGATTGGCTTTTCTGTTTCGTGATCTGTTGCATTCTTCGTCTGTTCAGAGTGTTTATTGTTTTGTTCGTTGTTTCTGTGGTCTAGTAAATCCCGGAAATATTCCTTCCATCTATCCATGATTTCATCATCCTCGGTTAGTATATTTCCGTCTTTGTCCATTATTGATGATATTTGTTTTTGCTTTCCAGTTCACATGTTTTTTAGTACTTTATAGAAAAGTTTTTGGTTTTCTTTAGAGTTTGTCTCCATTTTTTCGCCAAATTTTATCCAACTTTGTTCTTTTGCTTGTTTCACCATGTTTTTGACTTTCGCTCTTTGGTTTTTGTATTCTTCATATTTTGCTTCGGTCCTGTTTTGTAGGTATTTTTTCCATCGGTTTTTCTTTATTTTTTCTTCGTCTTTAATTTCTTTGTTCCACCACTCTGTTTTTTTGTCGTTTCTTGTACCCTTATGCTCCCCACATATTTCCCTTGCTGTCTCAAGTATCCTATTTTTAAATATCTTCCAACTTTCTTCTATTCCTATATTTTCTACCTCTATCTCATTGTATGCTTTTTTGACTAACATGTTTTTGAACAAGGTTGCTGTTTCTGTGTCCCTTAGTTTGTAGCTTTTGATGTTAGGGCTTGCTGGATCATATTGAGGAGCTGTGGGTAAGAATAAGTCTGAATAAAGTAGAATTTGTTGTAGGGGCTATATATAGACCCGTGAAAGGCAGCGGATCTGACTTCCTAACGGCGCTAGAAACAACATTGGCTGATATGTCCACTGAATCTGATATTTTATTTTGCCTTGGAGACTTTAATATTAATTACCTTGATTATTCTAATTACCTAAGCATGAACTTATACTCTATACTGAATTCGTTAAATCTTAAACAGGTAATAACCGAGCCAACCCGCGTCACTGCTACCAGTGCAACACTCATTGATCTTGTTATTACTGATAATCTCTGTGATATTCTTAGTACTGATGTTTTGGATATGCACCCACTCACAGATCATTGTCTAGTCTCATGCAAAGTTGGTCTTTCGCACAGTGCTAAACCGGTTTCGCAGAAACGGTATCGTGACTTTAAGCACTTTGATGTAAGTGCATTTGAACGTGATTTGAGGGCTGTGGAGTGGAACGTTATCTATGTCGTAGTCTTTTAATGAAATCAGTCATTTCACGAAACGCCTAGCCATTTATATGAAACTGTGCACAGTGTACTTTCCAGGACCAAGCGATTGGATTCCCTTCCCATTCGAGATCGATAAATGGTATCCCTTATCGATCTAGAAGCGGAAGGAAAAATACCCCACACGTGCAAATTTTCAGCGTTTCACTAAATGACTAGGCTTCGGACTACTATAGGCGTTTCGTGAAATGACTGATTTCACTAAAAGACTACGACATCTATAACATACCTAGCATTGACGACAAAGTAAAATTTCTTAACGGCAACATTACAGCAATATTAGATAAACATGCTCCATTCAAAACATCAAGATTTACTAAACCCTACACACCCTGGTTAACGGATAACGTCCGTCTCATGATTAAATTAAGGAATAAGGCACTTCAACGCTTTAAACGCAGCAAGTCTCCAGCCCACTGGGATTATTATAAAGCTTTACGAAATATGACTACTGCTGCTATTAAAGCTGAGAAGAAAGCATATCTAGAATTTACGTTTAGATCGAACAATGCTAAAACCGCATGGCAGACGTTAAGGAAAATGAGCATCTACGGCGTCTCTAGCGATAAAACTATCCCATCTAATTTGCAAGATGTCAACGAAATTAACAAGTACTTTGTTGAACACGTTAACAGTGTGTGTGATAATCCTGACATTATAAATTATTATAATAATAGCTGCTACGAATGAGACCCAGCTAGGTTCTCATTTTCTTTAATAGATGCGACACTAATTGAAAAGATCTTAAATAAAATGACATCCAAAGCTAGTGGTTGTGACGGTATAAATATTGATATTTTGAAATTATGTTCCCCGCACTTATTGCCTCACATAGTGCACATAGTCAATTATTGCATTGAGTTTTCAATATTTCCTACTGTGTGGAAAGAAGGATGGGTTATACCTATTCCAAAAAAAGCACATGCTGAAAGTTATAACGATCTTCGACCCATCACCATATTACCCACCTTATCTAAAGTGCTAGAGAAAGTATTGGAAAGTCAATTACGACAATTTTTAAATTCACGTAGCATACTACCCGTACTTCAATCAGGTTTTCGTAAGGGATATAGTTGTGCTACTGCAGTGTACAACGTACTCGATGATATCATTACGGAAACTGATTGTGGAAACATATCAGTATTGGTACTCCTTGACTACTCAAAAGTGTTTGACTTGCTTAGTCATGAAGTGCTTAAGGCTATACTGAGGTTTGTGGGACTGGGCGATGGGGCTGTGGCCCTTATACAAAACTATCTCGTTGGTAGATGCCAGAAAGTGATTTTAAATCACGTGCATTCTGATCTTGTGCCTGTTACAAGGGGTGTTCCTCAGGGATCTATCCTTGGACCCTTGTTATACACTCTCTACACCTTTAACTTGTTGTCTGGTTTAAACCATTGTAAGTACCATCTCTATGCTGATGATGTACAGCTATATCATTCGTTTCCTTTTAGTGAATTGAATTCCTCTGTGGCAAAGATCAACGAAGATCTTGCAAGGGTAGCCAAGGCATCGGATAATCACTCTTTGAAAATAAATGCAACTAAATCTTGCTTCATCGTGTTTTGTAGCGATAAACTTAAAAAGCACATTCAAGGCAAAATAATCTTGCAAATTGGTAACCAACCTGTCCCAATAGCCGATTGTGTAAAAAATTTGGGCATTTCTATTGATTGTAAATTAAGGTTTACTAAGCACATTGACAACCTTATTGCTTCGGCTTATTATCAGTTAAGATGCTTGCATTCTAGTCGTCACATTCTTGGCATCAAGCAGAAGGCTGTTCTTTGTGATGCACTGGTTCTATCACGGTTCAATTATTGTGACGTGGTATATGGACCGTGCTTATTACTCAAAGACTGTGATAGAATCCAGCGTGTCCAGAATTCATGCTTGCGCTTCATATTTGGAATTAGGAAGTTCGAACGGATTTCACATACCTTAATTACCAATGCTAGGCTGGCTCAATATGATGGAAAGAAGGCTAGTTCACTCTTCTTTATTTTTTCATAAAATATTAAACAGTAAAATTCCCCCGTATCTCTACCGCAAAATTACCTTTCGTACAGACGTGCACCACTTAAATTTGAGGCACAGGGGAGTTCTATCTGTTCCTATGTTTAAATTATCATTATTCAAACGATCTTTCTTATTCAACATCTGTAAATTTTGCAACAACCCCAAAAATACAAAATTACTGTATCTGCCTGCTCTAGTGTTCAAAAGAAACATCAAACATCGAATCATTAGAGAGCGAATGTTAATGCGAACGTAATTGAAACCACTACGATGTTTCCGTTGCATCTCCAAACGATAAGCTGCCTGTCAATAATTGTTTACTTTACAAATAACTTTAACTAATGCAGAATAACTTTATTTACTTATTTGTATTTACACAAGGGGGTTTCAAGGGGAAGAACAGGTGACCATATCAACGGGTTTACCTGACCTTGTGCCCATTGGTTATGGTGTAGGAACCATTATTTAACCAATAAAAACCATTATTATTATTATTATTATTATTATTTTCTTTTGTCCTTACTTTCGTGTCGTTGCCGTTTTCTCTCTTTAATGCAGCTACTACCAGAAAGTGGTCGGTGTATAGTTCTGCTCCTCGCATGACCCGCACATCATTCATTGTTCTTATATTTTGCCTCTCTACCAAAATATAGTCAATGATTGATTTTTCGTTTTTTGGACCCACTCTCGTGTATGTGTGTATGTTTCTGTGTTGGAAGAAGGTGTTTGTTATTACCAGGTTATTTAGTTGGCAGTAGTTAATTATTCCGTTATTGTTTTTTGTGCATTCTCCGTATTTCCCCAGTATTCCTCTGTGTGTATCCTTGTTACCCCACAGTTCCAAGATTGGGCTACTATTTCAAAAGTTACAGCCCTTTGAATTTTTTTTCGAAATTGGTTGCTAGTCTATAACTTTTGATTGAGAAGTCTGATCGAAAAAGTACGAATTGTTTTGGATTCTACGCACCAAAATTAATAAGAAAAGGTGTTTTCCCGAGAAATTTTGGTGTAGTCGATTTTTGGTAAAAAAGGAAGGTTATACACTGCCTTTTTTTGAGCCCCGAAAAAAAAATTGTCTCAGATCGACCCGGAAAAAAATTTTCTTATAGAATGTGGCCTGTAGAATCCATAATTTCAAACAGTTCCAAGATTGGGCTACTAGTTCAAAAGTTACAACTCACAGCACACCTTGTGTTGATCTGCAATCTATGTTTTTATTAAGATACGAGCGACTTCCGGAATAGGATCGTGCCAATGTTGAACGAAAAGTCTTTTTGTTTAACATTGACATGGTACTATCCCGGAAGTCGCTCACATCTTAAGAAAAACATAGATTGTAGACCGGGATCAAGTGTTCTGTGACCGGCAATCTTTCCTGGCGAGAGGTTTAGATATTCTTAATGGGCATTGTGTTTCCCACAAAATTTAAGCTATCTTCCGATGGAATATCGCTCATTTCCGCATCAATTTAGTGAATTTACCATTTTTTTCGCATTATGGGCTAGGACCTACCTACTTTGTTATATTTCCTTCTCAATTCATACCCACATTCTCGATCAGAAAGTCCGAGGTTCCTGATCCAATTTTGGGAGGGAGGAGGAGGGCTTTTTGGAAAATCCTAGATTCGCTTCAAATGTATTGAGCACTATATTACTGGCCTTTTCTAATAATATTGTAATTATTCTTGGTTAAATCCGCCTTTAAAGTAAATACTGGTGACTATCAAATTAAACGAGAAATACAATTAAAACTCCAACCCAGTAAATTGTTCGTAAACATTTACGTGTGTCCTTTCGTATTATTTGTGATTCCCTTGTCTTGATTAGTATGGCCTTTTCGGTTCCAATGATTAGTTTCGCTGTCTCCGCCGAAGCTCGCATTATTTGTCTAGACGGAATCAAGAAAATCCAATCACACGCACTCAAAACGAGATCTTTACTCTTTCCGATATGTCATTATTTGGTTTATTGTCCACTAATTTTGATTGCCACTTCGAGAAAGGGAAAACAACAGTTTCTTCCGCCCCATATACCGATACATAATATTCGTTTGGTAATTGTCCCTAAACGTTTTATCTCGCTACGTATAAATACAATTCCTTTTATTTTTATCGCTACTTTATTTACTCTTTATGCGTCTTTCGGAATTGGTTCAAGTTTATGCGAAGATACAAGGAAGCTGTACGTGTATCGCCAAGCTTGCAGACTTTCGGTTTAGCTGCTCTCTCCCCCTACTTTTCGTTTTAAATTTATGTCCCCTAAATCGTACCGTCTCTCAGCAGAATTCACTCGAAACACAATTCCGTTTGTAGAAAAAAACATACATTCGGAGGAGAGACGAAAACTCCAAACTAAATTGGATATTTATGAGCATCTGGCCGCCGCCGTTAAATATTTGAGTGGCGTTACGCGATTAATTTCTCATGAAAACAGTCGTTTATTGCTAAATGAATATCGGAAACTCATCCATTTTGAATAACAAGAATATGCGAGAGAATGTAACATTAATTTTTGAGAACGGTACGTAGGGCTCGAGGCAAGAAAGTTTATTTCCATTTATAAAGTTAGGGATGGAAAACCAAAGGATGTGGACTTATAGGCGTAAACAACCTCAAAAATACCAGACGGCAGCTGCCCTCCTTTCAAAATTATCTAATTTACGTTTCCTCCACGCATTTTGCTGCAAATACGATTACAGACTGTTTTTACTCTCACTCATGATTTTATTTCTGATCGTTTGAAGTGATTCTCATAGTAAGTTTCTTATCTTCTTATTTTTTTCGGCCTTTTGATCAAAGTCTCCATCTTTGCTTTCCTCCCACTTCTCCCTTTCACGTTTAGTTATTTATTGCTTCCTTTCCACGTTTCGTTCCTCTTTCTATGCAAAGCATTATGCCGGTCACTCTGTGATTGAGCGAAAGCCTGTTGAAGAAACAAGAAAGGGACAATAAATAAATAAATAAGTAAGCGACTGCAATGCAAGGGACGTGCATTTATTCCTGCGCTGTTTAATTACTATGGGGCTCTGTTTCTTAATGGGTTTCGAAAATTTTTCGAGTCGGGAATAAAAATAAAATAAAAAAAATTATTCACATTTTTGTACAGTGAACCAAAATCCTTTATGGGCATTAATACAACGCTACAACATTTTTCCTACAATCGTTTAAGAAAACCTGCACATTGCGTATACCAAAGAAACTTAGTTACTGATATTGCTGGGAAAATTAAGGGATACGCGTAAATCGGGCACCCATTTAAAACATTCTGGACTTGACGTCGTTTCCATTTGTGTGGTGTATTTCACGTAGTTTTCCTAGTCTGCTACGAATTACTTTAAAAATGATGGATCGATATGAAAACGTACGTCGACACCCTCTTAAACCACCGATTACTCAAAGAAAAACTTTTTCCGGCTTATCGCGTTCACGTTGCGTATACAATAAATAGTTGTATCGTCGATCTGCTCGCGAATTTGTCAAAGTAATAAATGCGAGAAAGGGCTCGCCGAAATCCGCATACCTCTCAACCTCCCTCAACAAAGACAAAGTCGTTTATCAAAATGGCCGAATTTTTACGATTTGATAAATTCTTACGCCGCCACCGCGAAAAAAACAAATTAGTAACCCCTTCGTTTCGAGTAGGTTTGCGTAGCGCACTCGGCGAAAAAAC